TCCAAAGGCTGAAATCACAGAAAGCAACAATTATAGAATCAAAGCGAGTGGGTACAAAGGCACTCTGAAAGGTGGTGGAGGCCATCCCTTGCCTTAAGCAGACAGAACAACACCCTATGTCACACTGACCCGTAAGTTCCTCTTACAAAGGTGGTTCACTGATTCTAAAAACTTCTACTGATTAATTCCTTGGGAGGTTGTGAAATTGTATCTATTCCAGTGCTCAACTTTCTTATATTCAGAAAGTTGTTTTTTTTTTTTTAATTCTGCCTCCAATACTCAAACCAAATCTCCAATGCGAAACTTCCCTTCTCCTTGCTCAAGAGTAATGCATTATTCCTGTCATCTTTCTAGTTCTTTAAAAGTGAACCTAAAGTTCAAGTTTCCACATAAAGAGGCTGGTAGACACTGACTTCTTGTCTAGATTACAAAAAGCAGTACAAAATATGCTACTGAACATATTTTAACCAGGTTGTGGTTTTTTTTCTAAATCTTAATAAAGGTAGGAACAAGCACTTTTTAAAAATGTGTGAGGCAGTCAGGGTCATCTTAAGCAGAGAGCTTAAGCTCACCCAGCTCCCTTACTTTTTTGATGACATATGGCAGGCAAAAGCAGGGAGGAAGCTAAGAGGAAAAAAAAGATATCTGTGATCAAATATGTAACACCATAGGAACAAAGGCAAGAAGCAGCAAATCATCAACTGCCATGCAAATGGAAAAATTCTCACCTTTAAAAAAACCTTCAGATGGTAAACTGCTTCATGACACGAGCTGCCTTCAACTCAATCACAGGCATACACATTTTCCTTGGAAAGCCAGTCAGAATCCCAGACAACCCCTGCAGGCAGGCACTTGAATGCACTCATTGGAACTAACACCCACCCACGCCACTCAGCTAATTTCTTGGAACGGGGAAAATACAAAAGCACAGAACTGCTTTTTTTATGTCCCAATTTAGTAAAAGACAGCAGGTAGCTTTTTTAACACAGACCCACGTCACAGACTTTGTTAATCTGAAACTCTGGAACCTACAGAGACTCCAGAATTGACTTTGAACTCTGGCCTGGACACTTCTTAACCTAGTGAGTTGGTTTTTTAACAGTGCTGCCATCCACAGTCAAGTATTTCAGAAAAAAACAGAAGGAGTATGCTGACCAGTATTCATTTGGCTCCCCCCCTAAGGCTCCTTCCAACTCAGCACTAACGTTTATAAATCTTGTACTGGTTTCGGCTGGGATAGAGTTCATTTTCTTCCTAGTAGCTGGTACAGTGCTGTGTTTTGGATTTAGGGTGAGAACAATGTTGATAACACAGCGATGTTTTAGTTGTTGCTAAGTAGTGCTAACACTAGTCAAGGACTTCTCAGCTTCCCATGCCCTGCCAGTGAGAAGCTGGGAGGGGGCACAGCCAGGACAGCCGACCCAAACTGGCCAAAGGGATATTCCATACCATATGATGTCATGCTCAGTATATAAACTGGGGGGAGCTGGCTGGGGGGCGGTGACTGCTGCTCGGGAACTGGCTGGGCATAGGTCAGTGGGTGGTGAGCAATTGCATCGTGCATCACTTACTTTGTATACTCTTTTATTATCATCATTATTATTATTATTATTATTATTATTATTTTCCCTTCCTTTTCTGTCCTATTGAACTCTCTTTATCTCAACCCACGAATTTTACTTCTTTTGTTCCCTGATTCTCTCCCCCATCCCACTGGGGGTGGGGGGAAGTGAGCGAACATCTGTGTGGTGTTTAGCTGCCTGCCGGGTTAAACCACAACAATCTCAAACTAAAAGTCACAGGGGGGCAGCTGGACTCTCTAAAATCTAACAGACCTGAGGCCTTCCTAGGAAGAGGTTTTGGTAGCTTATGTGTGAAGAGTTGACATTTAAGAGAGAGCTGCCGGTACTGCTACCTAGCACCTCTTTCTTCTCTACTATTACGTCTGCTCATTTCCAGTTCTGGCAGTTTGAAAAGCCATGAAGCTCCTGAGTCTGTGACTTATGATGGTCAATTGAAAAGCAACTGTTAAACTGTTGTACCAAACCCAGGATGAGATCTGAATGCTAAGGCCAGGCTTGACCATTGAAAACGCACCTCTAACTTTTCAATAGGAATGTAGCGACAATAAAACTTGGAAGACAATTGTCGATTTAAAGATGCATTGCTGAAATCCATTTGGACAGATGTTGAGGAAAAAATGGTATTTTTCTTCACAAAAATCACTCATTTACAAATAATAATAATAATAAAAAAAGATCTAAAAATCCATCAGAATCTATGAAAGTTGCTAACTCGGAGCTCTCTTCAGGTTGCAGCTCCCTGTTGAAAGCAAGAAAGTGAACCACACCAAAGGCTTCATGATTATGTCACAGTCAGGAGTGGGTACATGGACAAAAAAGCTGAAATGAGAGGCAGTTGTGTTCAACCCTAAAGCTCACTTATTCTGTAAGCACGTATCACAGTCAGGAGGGGTAGAGCCAGCTTTCAGTGCACTATGACCAGATTTTCTATGCCACAGACACAGAAAGCACAGCCCCGGTAAGGCTTATTAGGTCCACTGCATGCACAAGGCTGTATTACCAATGTTTCCTCATTGTCTGGGGCATCTTAGTCCCGAGTAAGGGCAGGTTGACTGGAGAAGAAACAAACCTCTTAGGTCTCATGGGACACCTCTCATGACTTCACTGGACATAAGATTTAATCTCACATAAGAATGACATCTTCCAATATTTGAAAAGAAAATATTAAATAGATACATCAGGAACTTTTCTTTACTACTATTTTTTTTCTGACTGGCTATATAGTTAGGACTGCTGACAATAGGCTAAATGTGCTATCGTATAGCTGAAAACACATTTAAGTAGCAAAATACCAACTGTAAGAGCAGTAATCAGATACGGTTCAAGAACTGAATCTCTCTAACCTGTCAAAGAGATTGTAAACAGTGCAGTTTTCTGGACCTGCAACATTATCAGGAACCTCAGCAGAAAGTGAATAGTCCTGTTTCCCATGCCAAACCCATCAGATAGCAAGCCTCAAGCCAAACCCATCATTTCAGCTCTTTTTCCTATGCTGGAAGATCCAGGAAAACAGGTAATCAGAACGTAGTTTGCCATCCACCACGGGTGCAACCCATCAGAGCCTGGATCAAATTTAAATCAACAGGATGGCACTGGCTCTTTCTGTTTGCCATGGAACAATTTTACCAGTTGTGTGCTCATGAAAGTCACTCTTGCACATGAGAGAACATGCAAGATCTGAGGCACTTATTCTTTTCTTGAAGCAACTTTAAAGAGCAATTACAATGCTCGTATGGAGTAGAGGCCAGCGTATTTTTTGCACCAATTAGCACTTTTGTTTTCATACTTCCAAGTTTATCAGGAAGGAAAAAAAAACCCATATTAAAGGTAGCATGGTCTTAGAATAACTGGAACTACTAAATCACACCATTTTGGCATGAAGGGCACAACCAGGAGTTCATAAAGATTTTTTTCATATTGGAATGTGAAGAAAAACAAATATAAACTACATGCATTTTTAAAAATAAATGCATTTTTAAAATTAAAAGAGAAATAAGGGAAAAACCAAAGCTGCATGTAAAAACAGAACATGTCTCGGTTTCCCATGTTAACAAACAAACATGCTCTGAAGTTATAAGAACCAGACATGGTGGAAAAGTCCTGTCAGTACTTACCCAATTTCAAAGCATGAAAGACATCAGGTTGCCTCTTTTCTGTATCTGGAAGAAATATAAATAATTCTATTAGCAATCATTAAAAAAGCAAAAATTTCTAGTAAAATTTTTATAGCAAAAACTATTAAAAAATTTACATAAAGGTACTATAAAATATATGTTTGGACATACATTTAATAAGAACAAAGAAAGCACTGATAACCTTTTTATTCCCTCTGGGAAGAATGACTCAACTGTATGGTTCTCTGTGCAGAGTTAAAGCTACAAACTATAATAAAGCACCAGTACAGGCTTTTGCCTTTCAACTCCATTCTCTATCAGGAAATTGTATTTGGAAACTTCTGTGTTTCCTGCCTGGAAGACTAAAATATCAATTAAAGAACCACAGTATGGTTCTGTGGTCTGGTGTAATCCTCTGTACAACAGCAAACACTCAAATAGTACAGGATTATTTTGAAAGGTGACTCAAAAGGAGTTTTACAAGGTGTCTCATTTTTATTTCCTCTTCAGTATTGCCAGGTTAATTTGTGAAGGTCACAAAAATAATAGCGACGATGTAACTACACAGGCTTGCTGTTTGTGCATTAATAGATATTCTTCAGCTCCCAGATCATCATCCCCATAGTAAGAACTGTAATTATTAGAAATTTTAATATTTTGAGTGAAGGATCTTTCCTTTGACATGCCTTCAAAGCGCTTCGAAACTGCTGACACTATATAAGATGAGGAAAAAATAGTGACATATTTTGCACCTTCCACTCAAGCCAGAAAAATATATCCTTCTCCATCTTCCAAAGCATTACTGACACTACAGAACCAATGCGGTAAAAAGATTTTAAGGAAAACAAGGAGACGTTGAGATATTTCCTGAGCCTGATTCTGTTGTTTTTATGATAATACAGAAAAGGTTGATGTTCATAGCTTGACTCCAAAGGAAGTCATTTGAAAATGCTGAACAAAAGTAATTGCTGGAAAGCCCCCAAAAACATGAGAAACTCTTATTTTAAGACTGGGAAAGAGAGCTGTGGGTCCTACATTTTCTCCTGGTTCAGAAACTGATCTTACAGAAGGAACTGTGTATGAGCTTACCATTGGAAAACAGATTTCAAAAGACTAGTTTAGAAAAGGACCAGACTCCATACTTGGCCCGTGAAAAGCGTGGAAGAAGCAGCCTCAGGGAGCAGGAGACCATGAGGAGATGCCAGAAGGAAGGTCTGCCGTCCAAGTAAGCTGAAGCAAGGACAGGGACAGAACACAGGCAACACCCAGGCCATTTCAAGTAGTTTTGAATTTGTTACTGAAAACAGCCCTGAGAAGAGAGTTGCTTTCTTCTGGAAGGCAATTGGCCCTATCTATGGCAATGGATCAGAAGACAAGTTCCTCTTCTGCTGCCTGCCATATGAGAGAAAGGATCTTTTTTCTTCCCAGGATATACAAGACTCCAGTGCTAGGAGGAGAGTGAAGCCATGCTCAAAAAACAATGCAGAAATTTGCGTGGAAGTTTAACATTTTTACCCCCAGTTAGTTACTACCCTTCTGCTGATGGAAACTCCCCCTCAGCAGAGGTGTCAGGAACACTCACCTGCTTTAATGCAAGTCCACTCTCCTAGCTTAAACAGAGACTTCTTCAATACTTTAAGTCGTATGACTACAGAACACTTTCAAGACTCATCAGGCCAACTCTGCCTGCACATATGGAACGTATGTGCAAACGCATGGGCAAGGTATAAAGCGCTGCACGAGTCAATCCCACAGATGTCTGATTCTCTCTGTGTACTGTAACCAACTGATGTCTATTCCTCAGAGACTGGTCATGAGCAAACGTCTACAGTCAGCCAGTTCTGCCTGGTAGCGTGGCTGTATGAGAGCCCTAACTCCAACTTAACCTATGAGTCAACATCTGACTAAGCTAACACCTTCTCTGAACAAGAAAGAAATGTCAGATTTTTGTTCTTGTTTCTTAAAGTACAAGGGAAGCTTGACCTGCAGGAATGACACCAAATTTAAATAAAAATTAACAATTTGGGGGATTGTGGACACGTCCACATGGTAGTGTAATGTAGACATAATTAGATAAGATTTAAATAAGCCTATTTGGGTATCACAAGTGGCAGAGAGCTTGGAGTGGACTATCCTACCCTACAGGCTTTCTGCCACCATGGCTGGATGGGTGGGAGCACCCGGAAAAGGTTCTTTCTAGGGCTAGCCACATCCTTAGATTTCATAGCAAGTACTCCAAAGCTGAAAAATCCAGATGAAGCTCTTCCAAACACTTTTGTTTAAGCACCTCCCAGCACACATCTGCATCATAAAGGACAAATACCTTGAAAAGTGTCCCCGAACAGGCACATACAGAATAAGGTCTCAAGCTCTGAAATGACTTATTGACGTTCAAATGTCCAACACAATGTCCAAACCAAACTGCCTGATTTCAGAAACAGATTTAATGCATTTCTGTTAGCATAAACAAACTTCTGGAGAAGGAAAAAGAAGCAAAGCCACAATACTTTAACAAAACTAACATAAGACATTCATAATATTATTTTATAGAACAAGCTAGAAAGAAAAGCTAATTTGGAAAGGTATCTGGGAGAGACAGCCGCAGTAAGTAAAAAATTTTTAAAAACTAAATTCATTACCATTTCAAACTGACAGGTGGCAGCAAGTAGGTTTAATCTTTATCTTCAATAAAAATAAAAATCCTAGGAAATTACATATAAAAAACTGTGAACAGAACAAAAATTTGCTTAGTAATTAAAAAAACCTTGGAAAATTACTGGTAAAGACATGCAATATACTATTCTGTCCTTTTGGTTGAGTGTGCAGTACTGGATACACTGGTTAAGACTGAAGGAAGAATGTTGTAGTCTAAGTTTGCTCACACCTTCCTAAGCCTTGATATCACCTAGAACAAGATATTACCTATAAGAATCCTGGATTTCTTATATCCATCCACGCTCATGGCTAAAGCTACATGACCACCACACGTTATTTAATTACACTGTCACACTTCTTTATCAATTCTCTTACCTCATTCAGTGCACATAATGAATGCATTACAGGACAAAAATAAAAACCATAAAAGCAGCATTTCTTAACTTCATTTTACTTGAGATCTGCATTGAAATAATGTTATTTTAATCTAGTTTTGTACATACACAAGCACAGCATGTGAGCCTATCTCTATGTGTGCACACACACAGAGGCATATTCACATTTGAGGGGAGGAGGTTGTTTATAAATTTTATGAAGTCCTGAAGTTAATTAAGTATTCCCCTCTCCTTCAAGGAACAGAAAAGTAGAGGACATGCCAACTTGTTATTCATCCACATTAATACTTGGTTTTCTTAGAATACACAGTCCACTATCAAAGGACTTTGAGGAGGTTTCAAATATTCAGAGAGTGCTAGAAGAAACCTTTAGGTTAACTTCATCTGGCTTTCTGCATGTCACAGGCCTTGTATGCAACACCCAGTGAAGGCAATCCGATGATGAGTTTTAGAAAGGCATTTAACCTTGATTGCAACTGTTTGAGACTGCACACCTCTACTAAGTCACTCCAGGTCTAAGCTTCACCGCAAAACACAGCATCTTATTTCCCATTCAAATTCTTCTAACTTTAAACTCACAGCTTTTTTTCTTTGGCTGCCATATAAAAAGGCCCTCCAGTATTGGACTTCCTGTCCTTAATGTGGACACTTTATTAATCACACCTCTTAACCACCTCTTCATGAAACAAGACAGATTGAACTTCCTCAGTCTCTCCTTACAAGGCAGGTTTTCTAGATTTTATATCTTTTAGGTTTTCTTTGAGTCTGCGATATCCTTTCTTTGATATCCTATTCTGGTTTTGATGTCCCTTCTTTAGTGCCATTTCAAGCAGGCCTTCATAATTGTCTTCCTAAATGAGCACCTGGATCGTGTGTTTTAAAAGCAAAAAACATTTAAAACACTAAAACATTTTAAAATGTTTCACCTGATTTTTATTGCAGGACAGGAATCTCATTACTCTAACGTGGTTGAAGTCTGCGGAAGCTTGCTGACTCTGGCCATTCCTGCCTCACCCGAGGTAGATGTACCTACTCCAACATTTTCAAAAGAGTCTAGTTACAAATTATAACGAACATCATGTACATACAAAATAACCCCTTCAACTTTTAAATATGCAATCAAAACTTCAAGAAAGCGAAACAAAAAACTAATGCTCCATACCTGCCTGGGGTCTGATCGTTGTGAGAGATTCCAGGTAGTCCTTCATGTCTTTGTGTTTGAAGCCAACAGAGATTTCAAAAGGCGTTTTATGTAGTACGTTCAGGTGATCAGGATTGGCACCTTTCTCCATAAGCTGCTGTGCCAAGCTCACCTTTCCACTAACAGCTGCCAGCATTAAAGGACTCCAGCCCATAGTCTTCACAGTGTAATTACAATCAGCTCCCCAGTCTAATAACAGATGTACCACTGCCTCATGTCCATGCTGAGCAGCTGCCATTAGTGGAGTGATATCGGGAAGGTCGTCTCTGCTGCTGTTAAGTACACTCGTGCTAAAATGGTCGTAATTGTCTACAAAAGCTCCAGATTCCAGCAACAATTTCACCATGCTGACATGGCCACCTCTGGAGGCCATTGTGAGGACACTGGCTCCTAACTTATTCTGCGCGTTGAGATCAGCACCATTCTCCAGCAAGATGTGAGCCACGCTTAGATGTCCAAACCTTGAGAGAAAGAGGTAAGGAGGAGAATTAACACCTTGGATGGCAGAGGCTTCTCAAAGAAAACCGACATACTCTGAACACGGAAAACTTTGCTACCAAATTGGCCTATTGACTAATATACTATGTGGGATCATGCACACTCACTGAATGTGACAGTGGTGACCTTACCGGAGGGGAGCAATCAACAGCTGAGGACTGTAAACTAAACCATTCCACATGTACCAGTGACCACGCTCATAAACCAGGCACTGATTTATTAGGATGTTCTCGCCAAAGCAGCAACGTGCTAGCCTCATTTTCAACTGCATGACACCAACATGTAACTTCCATAAACCACAGAGTCACTTTCATCCTCTTATTTCCAGGCCTGTATCACATTCAGGAACCAAAGCCAGTTTGTTTGCAGAGATCTTAATTAAGTATCCTCATTACTATTGAACAAGTAGAGTAAAAACTTCAAAGAGTCAATGCTAAAGGAAAAAAAAAAATGAACTGGATAGCCAATCTTTAGTATTTGCATCATCCCTTGCTTTCCAGTTGTGAACTATGAACAAACCCCCACAATGGAAGAAGGTTCAGAGAAGACAGGCATGTGCCCATGAAGCTCAGGAAAGAACATAGCGAGTGGCCACAGCTGTTGTAAAGAAAGCTGAACTTCTCTCAACACAAAGGGGACCAGAGGGTGGCATTTGTTTTAGAGAAACAGCTCTATCAGCAGAGTGGGGCAACTGGCTTTGTGAATGGCCTTCCCTAAAACAATCAATAGAAAGTATTATCTTTCTGAGTCAGCTAGACCAGCATGGGGGAAGTGCCTACGCAGCTCAGCCCAACACAGAGCACCAAAACTGGGCAACCAAAGAAACAAATTTTGAAGAGAGCAAGGGGCTTGAGCTGGCTTCCAGCCACATATTCCTTCCCGGCAACTGGGGACGCCCAACACTGTGATGTTGAGCATACAGGGACTGGTAATGGGCGTGCTGTTTGTCTTGTGGTTCAACTGTGTGTTGCAGTTGCTATGTTGGGCTTGTGTTATGATTTCAGGAGACTGCTGTATCACTAGGCTAAATCAAAACCCTGTGTAACATCAAATATCTTCCAATAAGGAAACTTGGTATTAAAGCATTAAACCCTTCTTGTGTGGAATATCTAAAAGAACTTGGTCAGAGTATTGAATGCTGACACCAGTTTCACCAGTAACCCAGCTTTGATACCACTTGACTATCAGAGGATCTGGTACTTTGTCAGTAGTAAGCAAAAGACAATCATGCATGCCACACACCCAACCAGCTAGTTAACCATGAGAAAATGGAAACCCTTTACTGTTCCTCAGCTCAGGAATCCCACATTTTAATGAACATAATACACTGACAAGATGTGTACTTTGTGCTCTCATTGCACAGATCATGCATTACCATATGCTTGTGCAGTGTTTAACACAATCGAGCTCTGATCCTGAAAGCAGCCTTTGTACACTGCAGCAAAGCAAATATTAGTTGAGGAAATCCTGAAGAATGCTACTAACCACTAACAGCAGACATGAGACCCTAGTTTCCTTTCAGAAAGTACATGGTTGCAGAAGGAAGCCTCCAGTAGCCTTCACTGCATCACCCAGTAAAGCCTGCAACCACTGTACACATGATTAATTTTATGCATATATGCTATCTGCTGTCCAGTTTCAACAGGACTAACCACAGCCAGAAAATTAAACATGTACATAGTTCGAAACCTGCATTTGTACAAACACTATGTTTCCTTTCTGGTTAGCCATTAAAACGAAAAAAGAACTCTTCCACTTTAAGCTTTCTCCACAGGTTTCAGTGATATCTGCAGCACTTTTCAAATGGCATCAAGTAATTTCTTTAAAACAGTGAGAGGGCTATAGTGATTTGAGTTTATTGTTTTTAGAGAATAAGCATACGGTTTTCATTAAGGAGAAAAAAAATCTAAGAATGTTTCTGCAACTTTTTTCCTTTTTTTAACCTTCATAAAATAACAAAATTGTTGAACCTTGCCTTCCTTGTTCTTACTGGGAAACCAGCTGTGTGACTCATTCTTTGGGAACTTTCTATGGGCTTTAATTGAAAAGAGAAAAGTTGACTTTGAAACAGACTCTTTTCTTCCAAGTATTTTAATCTGTTATGAAACAGGAAAAAAAAACAAACCCAAAAGACATTTATTCTCTCAATTAAACATTCGATTATTACAGGAAAACACTGCCCTCCAACCTTGCAAAACACGTCTGTAAACCCAGGGGGTACTTGTATACGTAAAGATAAGCACAAACATGAGCATTAGCAACGCGGGAACCTCCCACAACCCAGCAGTGGGTTACACGAAGCACAGCGTCATTGATGCAGAAAGCAATCCAGATTTGTCATTAAAAACCTCAGCAATGATTTTCCATATCCTCCAGCGAGTCATTTAGGAAAATATGGAAAAGCCAAGTGAAATGAATTATTCCTGTTTGTTTCTGTATGTTTTATGTCAGAGGTGACTTTTCAACAGGTAGGTAAAACACATACCAAAAAAACCCAAGAGAAAATGAGGTAAGGGTATGGACGTATCTTATTTCCACAGAAGGAAAGAGGGGAGCAGCGTTTTCATGTTCAGGTTACCTCCGACTGCGATTCTGCACTGGCTTTACCCAAGAAATAGCGTGCACAGCTTCAATCACCACATCCTTGATATGGGAAGAGAAAACCTAACGCCCCAGTGTCATACTTACCCAAATCTAAACCCGACAACCCCTCCTCACCCACCCCCGGGGAAGGGAACAGGTGACCACTCGGATCCCCCCGGGGTAACTAACTACACCAGCGACGAGCGACCGCGGCCTACAACATGGCGCCTCCCC